TATTTAACATTAGGTTGAAGGATAGTTAGGTAACATTAAGTTAATGATATTTCAACTTTTGAGATTTGAAAGCATCAATAATTTTTATCTTGTACTTACTTCGTACACAGCCAGGTCGATACCAGCGTACGGAATTATTCCCATCAAATTAGGAACATAGCCTCTATAAAAAGATTTCAAACCGCCTTGCTTATATATCTTCTTTGTTGCATCTATTAAGCCTGAATACTCTCCCGTTTTTCTGAGTGCGAATCTAGTTTTAAGCACCTGCAATATATCACGAACAATATCACTACAAAATAATAAATACGTTACGGTAATGTTACGATACAACACGATAATTTCATACCTCAAGTGGATATATAGCTGACTGACTAATCCCTCCGGCTAGAGAACCAGCCATTAATCGTTCATAAAGTTCAAGTTCTCTCACGTCGTCTCCTTTGATCGCTCTCTTAATTTGCTCGTAAGCCATGAATTTCAGCGCACTCTCTGGTCCGATTTTAAGTACGTTTATACCATTTCCTCTCCACAGACTAATAGAGCCACCCTCGCGCAGCATATACCTAAAGCAACTTTTGATTTTGCAGTGTCGCGTTCCATGAACCTGAAAGCATTCTTCTTCGTAAAGCAAACAGAGAGCAGAATTCACTTAACTTCAATATTTAATACGTATCTAATATTTTAATTCTATTATTTATTAAACTGTAATATCTACAATGACTCAATAAAGTATGTTTATATAGATGTTTATATAGATGCATTTAGATGATACAGGACATTTTGCAATTCATTATATCGTGAAAATTTGAAACCAATTTGAAAACGTTGTAGAAATTATAATGTATGTATTATAACAGACAATTAACTACTCAAATGTTCTTGTGGTATACTTGCATCAAATAATCTCATAATTCCTAGATACATCCTCAAATTTGTTTCAAATTTTGCCAATACAACTAAACATTGTTATAGACTTTGCCAATTCAGTATTAATGAAATTTTAAAACGTTTTAAAAATGTTATGTCTGTCATAAGGCAGAGATAATATATGACAGAGATAAATGTATGTGTAATGAGATAAATGTACGTGTGTCCAAATATTTTTACAAGTCACTATATGTATATATTTGTGTTTTAATCTTCTACTTTCTTTCTCTTTCTCATTTTTTTTTTCAATCTACTTAGTTAATTAATTCTTTTTCTAGTCTCTTAATCTTGTCTTCTTTTAATCTTTTCTCTTAATCTTTTCTAGTCTAATAATCTTGTCTTCTGTAAATTTAATAAATTACATTGCATTCCATCAAATAACTTGAGTTTTCTCATTTAACTTTATAAAAACGCTTCTCTCTGGTACTGTTTGGTAGGAGAAATTTTGATCGAGTGACTCTTTTTCTATTCTAAATAAACTCACTTGTAAATAAACTTTGATACGATCCAAAGGCGCGGTACATGTGCGTGATACACCACCTGCTACACCACCGGACACCAAATGCCGCCACCACATTCCAGAAACCATTTCACCAGTTGTGAAGTCCTCCGGGACACCGATATCCTCCCCAATGTCCATATACTGAAAAGAAAGAAACAATAATCAATGTAATTATTACACCTTATTTCCCCCCCCCC